ATTTCTTTCATAATCTAGAACGACATGGTAGGGAAATGTTAAAATGTTCTAAATTAAAAGGGATATTCAGTCCCACTCCTTGAAGATGGCCTTAGTTATTCAGAATACAAACATCTCCTATTCATACGACATTCCTATGTCACCAGTTCCTACGTGTCAGAGTGATATGTTTCTTTTCAATAGCTTCAAGATTTCTGCTTTCAAAGTCTTAAAGACTGTATATTAGCTCCTGGAAACTTTTCCTGTCCCAGCCTAAATCCCTTTTAAAGAAAGGGGTCTCCTAAAGAAATCTAAGTAAATAGCCCTAAATTAATAAGAGTTACTGCCCGTATTTGATGCTCCTCCTCACCAATTCCCCCTGGACCATTCACTTCCTTCTGGAGTGACTATCTTTTTTCATTCTTTTCTCTTACCATTTATCCAGCAATTACTTTGTGCCGGGTGCTATGTTAATGGTTGCTATGCAGTATCTCATGTAAATCTCAAAATACCTTGTTGCAAACATAAACTCCAGGAAATTAAGTAAACTGAACAAGATCATATGACTAGTAAGTGGCAGAGTTTATACTTCAACACAAATCTGACTCAGTTCTAAAGCTTGTATACTTAACCATTACCAAACACTGCACCTTCTGTCTTCCAAAATCTGTCTTGAGGCAAATCTCCATTCTGAAAATTCATAGCTTTTTATATAGAAAAAAATGTATACCATTTTATAACATACCATTTTATAGCATGTATTACCCAGTACAGTGATTATCTACGTGTATTGTTTCCTGATCTACCCTGTGGAATCCGAAGGTCAATTACAACTTATTAAATGTGCTCAGTAAATGCTTCTTGAATGAGTAAACAAGCGTTGATGTATGCAGAGTGCAGTGTTCTCACTTGAAAATGCATACATGATTTTAAAAATATTTCACCTATTTATGGGTGAATATTATATAACAATAGTTATACAGTTATAACAATATTCATGACAAGCTCCATAACAGCAGTGACTTTATTTTCAGCTTAGCTTTTAGAAACTCCTCTCATTGCATTGTTTCAATTTCTGACCACCAAGGGGTATGCAAACATGCAGAGAAACAAAGCATTTATTGTAGACAAATCATGGTTAGGTATGTATTGTATGTCTAATCAATAAAATCACACATCACAGCCATTTCTAAGCAATGCCCAATAACTAAGTATTTCCAAACACCGCGACTAATTGTTAGCCTACTTCACAAGAGATCTGCCTGCCTTCACCTGCATCTCAGAACTTGTAGGTGTCTTCTCACTTGTTTACAAGTGGTAGTGGTTCAGGTAACCATTGTGTACATATGCATGTCATGCAGACCAGTAACATACAGCCCAGTTAAATTTAAAGTTTAGAGGTGAGGAAGGGCATGTAGTGCTTAATGTAGCCACACATGGAGAGATAAATATATAATAAAATGGTCACACTTCTCACTAAGATATTTCATTTATAGCTATTCAGAAAGCATAAATATGTCCACGTTTCTGTATAATTACTGAGGGCAAAATTGCTATTCATCTTGAACCCCAATTTCTACATTATAGTTCTGGCTAAAAGAAAAAGACTTTAAAAATACCTCTTGGTCCCATCATTACAAAAGTGTAGAGTGCCAAAATAGAGCATCTAGAAAGACACAGAACGAATAGTAATAGAAGTCATTTTCAAGGCAATATGTAGCTGGTGACAGGCATTTGCAAAGCAATTTAGAGAAAGAAGCCTTCTTAGGAAAACCAATGACAAAAGCTCGGCACTTAATGTGAACCTCGGGCAAATGCACACACAAAGACTAAGACTTCTTTTGAAAAAAGTAATAAAGCCCAATTATAAGAATACAATCATTCCAAAGCAAATACCAAGGCATAAGAATAGGAGAGTGGGGAGAGGAATGTAGGAAAGAATCAACTCAACTTGAAAAAGGCACCAAGATAACAGAAAGATTCATTTATTATGAATGAATGTATGTATTAATTTATTTATAACTTGCTTCAGTCCACAAAGGATTTGAGACAGACAAGACATTCTCTTAAACACATGAGGCTAAGATATTCTCTATTTCCTGAGAGATGAGAAAATGGAAATTAATACCAGAATGACTGTACATATCATACATAGTTTTTTGTTATTTAAATAGGCTTATGCTAACTATATAATTAACTAGCCATATTCCCTATTCTATAATGTAGATTAAGTTATTATCAGGTTATTATTTGATCAATTTCTATGTCTCAAGTGTTATATATAATCATATATTTGGAATGAACAGACTATTATAAATGATTGAATCTCAGTGCTGTGAATGTCCCTTTCTGCCTGATACTACTGCCCATTACACTAGCTCTGGTGGGAGCTTTATTCATGTTGCTGACTAGGGGATTAGTTAAGGTAGGGTTTTTTCTCTTTAATGGTTGCAAATAAGACAAAGAACATTAAACTCCCCCAAGCAAAATAAAACAGCAATATCTAGATTAATTTGAGGGAAAAAATAACTTAGTGATTATCAGCAGGTAATTGGGATCTTTCTATAAAATCAAAGAAGATTTGAGTAAGCAAAACCTCAGGTATAAGGCAGCTCCAGGGATTTCAGCCACCCAAGTTCCCAGAATTCTTTCCAAACTATTGTCATTCATATGATTCAATACTGATGACTACCAGTTTGATATCTCTCTAGTACAGATCTTGAATTCCCAGAAGAGAGAATCCACCTTGCCCTGCTGAGATCAGATAGTTACCCCTGGATCAGTCAGGCATGGCCAGAGACAGACTCACATAACCCAGACACAGCCACAGAGAGCCTACCTTGGTGGATGGGGTTACTTACGCACAGAAAAAAGCACAATTATTATTGGTTGTGTACTCCTCCAGAAAGTGTCTGCCCCATGGGAGATATAATTATTTTTAAGTAAATAGCAAAGGAAATCTATGAAACCAGCAGCTTGTAATTCCACAGCAGAAGAAGAAATATCTGATGCTCTCACCTGATCACAGAACTGAGAATCAGACTTTAATGTTGGCATTTCTGACTTTTGACCTTCAGGAAGAGTCTTATGCAGTCATGTATTTAGTCCTTAATGTCCTACCACAGGAAGACCTAATCTTGGATTTCTGGACCCTAAATGGTCCAAATCCAAGGTAGAAATGAAGGATGAATTATTTTTAATAATCCAAAAGGCAGAATTCTAATAATGGATTTACTTACGGTAAGATTCACAAAGTAACTAAAATGTCAAACATTTTTGTCTGAAATTATCAGTACAGTGTAGCATCAGAACTACATGTGGTTGATAAAATAGGAACACTATTTTATTTATCTTGGTATCTCCAAACAACTGGCATAGTACCTGACAGAGCTAAATCAGACTACTAAATTCTGTCTAGTTTGAACAAAATTCCTCAGAACACACATTCACCAGTACTCTAAAGGAAAGAGCATAAAAAGGACCCTTGAGGGTAAGAAATGGAAACCATCTACTTAAGAAGGTAAAATAGTATAATTATTCCTCTTTATCAAGAAACATGAGAGTTGTAAAATAATTTTTAAAACCTTACTAAAAAGAAAATCAACAGGTTGAAGATTCATTCATCAAACCTACACTCACAGGGCTCCTATCACGTAGCATGGATTTAGCTAGGTACAGGCATATTAGGATGTAGAACACAGGGTCTCCTTGGAGACACAGACATCCAAATCAGTAATTGTGAGATAATATCATCAGGGATACAATAAAAGGAGTGCTTAATGAAGAAACAGAATTCTTAAAAACACATCCTTTTTCTGCTGTCAGCAGAGTCCCTAAGCATGCACTCCCCTCTGACCATCTGCTCACAAAAGTATGACATTTCTATTCTCTGAGTCTCCAGCAGGTCTGGGCTGCCTGTGCACTGCTAGAATGCCTCCAAAATTAAGCAGCATATCCCTCCTTTGTTACAGGTGATCCCATCTTCACATCCTCCCACAGATAAACAAACAAACAAAAAACAAGAAAGAGGCTTCATTCTCTTACAAATCTGAGTGAAAAGTAGGCTCCACCAGGCCTACTATAGTCACAAATCATTTGATGATAGTTCAGCTGCACCTTTCAGCATCTGGTACCTCACCAATAGATGATGCGTGAGAAGCTCCACATACTACTTCACATTGCCTGCAAGGTGGATCAATGAGAGGAACTTCCAAAAAGTGACTTTTGCACTTCTTTATGCATCACACACAAATTATTTCATGACAAGCCAGCTGTCAGTGATGACACACAGTTGCCAGAGAGGAATTACTGTTATTTCTATTAGGCAATGTATGTATTAAGAGAGTATCACACAAACCAGCCACTTTATTCACTTACTTAGAGCACAGAATATTAGAATGAGCTCATGAAAAGAGACTTAGGGTATGTGAGTCTATGCCCAGCTTTACAATTGATGCATTATCCTCACTCCCTTTGCATGTAAGTCTCCCACTGGTAACACAGGAACAATGACATTAATACCTGTCTCTAAGGCACTTGAAAATTCTCTAACAGAAGATTTTACACAAACGCAGAGACTATTAGTATGCTAGAAAGACTTGAAAATTGCAAATCTGTGTGCTTATCACTATTAAACAGTCAACACAACAAGGACAGAAGAGAAAGCACCCTTCTCTAAGACCTTTCTAAAATCAAGTATCGCTGAATATGCAGCTACTGAGAAAAAATACATTTGCAAATATATTCATTTTAATGACTATTCAAATCTAAAGCATCAATAACCCATTTAGATAAATTCATTGCAAGTCATCCTGACTCCAAAAGCTAATGCATGGAGTCACAGGTATTTCTTACATAATGCAGAGCTTTCTGAAAAGACATTCTTTCTCTGTTCAGAAGGTTTGCTCTACTCTAGAATTTCTGAGAACATTCTAGTGCATTCCACAAAGGTTGTTCCAAAATATAAAAATGATTCTCCTTCATTCGGGCCAATGTTGGAATAATCAAATAACCACACTTACAGTACAGTGGTGCACAGGCATCCAAGCAGGGGCTTCCACTGAACAGTTCTGGGCTGGGCACTTGCCTTGGTTTTGCTGCAAATGAGTAAAAGTGATGTTATGTTCTGTATATTACATGTAGCAGAATAGCCTAGCTGACATGTTTATCAGTATGTTTATTACCATATTTAGAAGTATAGGAGAAGCCTCTGAGAATGATTTTGTGGTGCAGTGCTGTAGAAAACCAGGTAATTTCTACTCTTATCAAGGCATAAGAAATTACGCTTTGTTTTTCTATTATTCTAAGGATTAGGTTTTTGGCGCCAGGCTCCCTCAGCAGCTGGCTTCTTAGGCCCCAGCGGTAATCATTTGAGAACCTTCCTAACCTAGAGGTAGAACTGGTCTCCTCTCCTCCAGGCTTCCAGATAAAACTGACACGACATACTCCCGTGAGATCATGTAAGTCAAGGTATAGAAAGTCTTGCTTACTTGTCTCCCATTCCATACTGTGAGCTTAGATATCTCTCTACAGCATTTCATAGAACCCCAGAATGTAAAGTTGAACAGGACAGATCTTAAAAGCCTTTCTTGTCACATCAGAAACTGAGGTGCAAAGAAATGAAACAAAAAGCACAGAGATGTGACATTCTAACAATCTGCAAGGCACTTCTTTTTATATTAGAAATTTATCTCTACCTAGCCTATCCTTTTGTTGTAACTCCTATAAATTCGCTTCTAATTGGCCTTTTAGAGAGAGTGAAATGCTTCCCTTTGAACAACATTGCTCCATCCCTGTACTAACAAGGACTGATTAGTGCTAAAAGGGGAGGAGGGGATTTTCATAAAAACATCTTTTATCTTTTATTTATTTTATGGTATCTTCAATTATAATATAGATGTACTAATGTTAATAATAATCATAAACACCATAGCCATGATTTGTTGAGCTACTAAATATGCTAGAGATGGTTCTGGATCCATTGTATCACCATTAGTCACCACAACAGATATGGATATCAGTATTATGCTATTCTACAGGACAGAAAACAGAAGCTCAGAGAGGGCGAGCAATTCGCCTAAATATTACCCTGCAAGCAAGCAGCACAGCGGGGAATGCAGCAAGAATCTGACTCTGTTGTCCATGCGTGCTCCCTCTATGAGATACTCCCCCGCTATTTTTCAATTTCTGTTTAATGGGGCTTAAGAAGTGTCACCAACTAATATGATTTCATCTTATCAATGATCTAATATTTCTAACTTAACTGGAATAAAATATTTAATTTTATTGAAGTACTTATGCTAAGAATGATTTTTTTGTGATTTATAAGCTTTCTAGAGCAACCTTTACTTAGGTGATCTATTTTGAAGGCATCACTAAACTCTGAAGTGATGTTTGTGTGATTATTGATAAAGTTACCACAAAAACACACTTAGTTCATCAATCTCCATGCTAAGTTTTTTTGTTCAAATCAAAATATGACATACAGTACCAACAGGTTATATAAAAGGTGAACTGAACTCATATCAGACAACCAAAGTTTCAAACTAAGCTCAACCACATGTTTGCTGCCATGAGATGCCCCGAGACTTGGTAGTAACATCTGCAAAAAGTATTAGTGTCTTGTCTAATTCATAGGAGTGCATCAAATGATAGATATCGATTCACCTCAGTGAACAGGAACAGATCACTATAACAATTTGCAAGGATATTACTAGTGAGAAGACAAATAGTAACAGGAAAAGTTTATTTTCCTTTTCTGATAGCTTAAGCCAGATCAATAAATATAATTAATCTGTATGTGAGGTTAAGCTTTTTTTCGAAAGTTGAAAGCATTATTAAGATGCTAGTTGTTATTTCTAATGATGAGCATTTACACTAAACAGCATTAGTGGTGATGATGAACCTCTCCTTTGTAATAATTCATAATTGTTAGTAATAGTGGTAACGAGCTTGTTTTATATCTAGGGAGTGTATATCTTGATGGAGCACAGGGTTAAGAGGCAAAAGTTCAAAAAGTAAGTGAACTGTACTTGGGCAGAGGTATCTAAGTACTGATAAAATGTGATGGAAGCATAAATAAGGAAGGTTTGAGCTTCTATGGCTGCATCGCATGGAGTAAATAAAGATGGCAACCTGTGTCAGTCTGTCTCTTACTCCATTATTACCTGAGTTTTGGATATTAAGACATTCTAGTTAGTATCTTGATCAAGCAGATTAACAATATGGTTACACAGAGGCAGACACATGATAAGGCCTACTAAAGACAGAGGCTATGTGAACATGAATTATTTTTTAATCAATAGTCTGTGACAGAAAAAAAAGACTGGAATAGAAGTTAGGATCTTGGAATCAGAAGTGTTCCCATTACTCCATCTGTGGGACTTTGGGAAACTAATTCGTACTTTTCTCATGTATAAATGAAAAGGTTTTTTCAGAACCATGATTCCATGGAGAGGCGATGGCAAATTTACCCATGGATCTTTTCCAAACCTCATATTTCTCCCAAGGATTTAAAATGTTCCCTGCTCCGAAGGGGTAGACTCTCCAGTTGAGAACCCCAGTCGCTCTTATCTGCTGTTTCCATAGGACACAGTTATTGCACTGTGAGTTTGAGTGGTAACAAAGGTTCAGAACTGCTGGATCAGAAGGTCACACAAGAGCTTCCCACACAAGTGGGGTGACTGAAAGCCCCAACCTCAGGTTTTACCTACCTCTTTGCTCTACTTCTAAAGAAGATGAGCTCTCACATGGGTCAAGGAAACTGCCACAGAGCTGAAGGAAAGGGGTTAAAAACACTCTTTTTACCTAGGAATTTTCATTCTCCTTCTTGAGTATCTTGTCTAACATTGAACGTGGACATGATGATGGGAGAGTTTGAGGGCACCACCTAATTGGACGATCCCCAGCTTCTAGGAGGCCAGCTAGAACCAGAATGAATACTAGGGAAAAAGACACTCTGCCTTTACATTAATTCTTGAGCCAAAATCAAGAGCGAACATTAGAATGCCCTCAGGGGCCAGCCCAGCTCTCAAAGCAACAGTTTAAGATAAAAGTTGGTAACAAGTCACCCTAAAGACAGAGCTTTCCCCTCTCCTTCTGCTCATCCATCTACCTTGCATATTTATACCTGTAGATTGTTATGTGACTTGATCAGGACTCAGGGATCTGCAGTGCTAAACCTGAAAAACATGTTCTCTTAAGAGACATAACTTTTTTTTTTAAACCATCAGTGGGTTTTGTTTTTAAAAATACTATGCTGTTTAGATGGGTTGATTGTCTCCAAGTCTGTCATCTTCCCTCATTGTCTTTCCGATTTTAACATCTTGACGTATTTCATTCCAGAATATTCTGACCAAATGAGACAAATATCCCAGACCAATTACACCTCAGATGGATTATGTAAATATGTAACTACAAAGAATTCAAACAGTGACGAACACTTGAAAAAGAAAACTAAAGGTATTCTATTTCTTTGAAGTTTACAAAGTGCCTGTGTACACATATTAGTCATTTAATCCTCAGAACAGGTTTGTATATGGCAGAGTGAGAAATGATTCATCCAAATAAAATGTCATTCTGTTCACAGAAAAATGATTCTTGTAATCATTGTTTTTTTTTCTGGGTTGAGAAGTTTTGCACGATAGTACTATACACATACTGATTCACTGATTTATCTATCCATGTATTCATCAAACATGTATTACAAGGAAGGTACCTTATTAGGTGTATAGACAGATATAAAAATTTAAATTCCTAAGGGAGTTAAATACTAGGACCACTCATTCATTCGTTTAATTGGTCAACAAACATTCATTGAGAAATCAATATTAGAAATTAGATATATCAATTTACCTCTGTCTAAAGAAGTTTTCAGTCTCAGGAAAAAGACAAACAATGTTACTGATACAGTATAAATAGCACATGACATAGGTGAATCAAAAAGACCCATCTCACCTATTTTGGGGTCAGGAATATGGGGTAAGAAAGGGTCATGGAAAGTTGTGCAGAGGAACTGAGACCAAAGGCAGGACTGCAGAACTCGTACTAGGTACATTGAGAAGGGCTTTATAAGGGGGACACTTCAGTATTCCAGTAACACTTTAAGAAGGAGAAAGGATGAGTAGAGGGCCTTCCAGCTAGAGGTGTACCACACACAATCTGATAGTGTTGAATTAAGGTATTCTCCAACTTGGTCAGGAAACCCTTTGATTCTGGACCTCAGAAACTTAGAATTAAGGGGAAAGAATGATTCTGTTACACAGAGAGCTAAATTCAGCCTTTCTCCTCATTTATCTCTACTTCACAGTATGTGGACAGTGAGGTGTGGGACAAATGAGAGAGCCAGTGCCAATCCTATAAAAAAAATGAAAGGCTCCTGAGTTTAGTATTTGGGAGAGTACATAAGATCCCTTCCTTATCTTTTCAGAACTTCTCAGGTATTGGACAGAGAAGAAACAGATACTAAAACATGATACCTAAAGGGAAAAATTAAGTGGCTCTTTGAATGACAGAACGAAACTGACATTTGAAAAATGTGTGTGTAAATGGACTGTTATTCATACTTCCTAAATGTAATGGAAAATTATATTTAAAGTATTAATTGTCAAAAACTAACATATTTGTTATTATTTACTTATTAGAAAACACATTTTCTGACTTATAGGGGTCTTGCTTTTCACCTAAGATTAGTGAAAGAGGCTTCAAGGTGCCTACACCGAGAGCTTGACATAACTTTCTTGGATTTGGGAAGCTAGTATATTGAGATCTAACTCCTACCTGAAAAGTTTAATGAGTGAGATAACATGGAAAATGGGTACTGCCTCAGGAGAGGGGGCTTCATCTGGACCAGCCTGCTCTTTAAGAGTTTGCCAAGGCCGAAAATCCAATCCTGGAGCCACTAGGATGCCTGTCATGAGAATCGTTTGTGTGGGTAGACTGCTGAAAACTTGGGGCTAAATAAATGCCTCCCTCACATTATAGGATAGAGAGGCCCTGAAAGGGAAACTCCCTAAGACCCACAACAGTGCTCAGGAGAGAAGGAGCCTGCAGCCAAACTGCCTGGGTTAAAATCCCAGATCCACCATGTACTAGCAAG